AAGACTTCTGTAGTATCGGAAACCAAGTGCTTAGAGAATAAGGCAGGCAGAGCATCTCCAGCTATGTTCAACTGTGTTCTTGCAATAGATATGTTACTCTGATCTTCCAGAATAGTATACAGTCTTATGGCCTTTTCAGGTTGTACAGACCTCTGTACATGTAGAGAACACTGGAGTGGTACTGGTGCTGCTTGATCTGGGCGCTCCCCACCTTGCTTTGCCTCAGGAGGGTTGTTTGTGGAGCGTAGTAGAGTTGTGCAAATATTGATGAAGACCTTGCACAGGGTCATCACTGTCACATCACTCTATACATTTGATGATCACTTTACAGTCCTTTGCAAAGTGTTCTGTGGAAGGCACAGCATTTGTAGCAAAACCCCAAATTTCTTCAAAAGTTCCATTATGTTCTTGGAGGGTTTTTCTTTCTGCAGCAATTCATTTCTTAAGTGGATGTGGTTTGTTATGTATTGAACATTGGCGATTTGGGTCACTCTCAATTCTATCGTCTCAATATAGTTATTGCAATCAGTCTTTTTCAACAAGAACTGTAGCAGGAGCAGGTAGAACATTAGTCCTTTTCAACTAACGCTGGACCTCTACGGTCTCTGTGGACATACGTGTGTTTGTAGGTCTTGGAGAGAGTGTATCTGAGAAGGGTTACAGTCCCCATATGAGAAACTTGGGTCATTCTTAGTGTCTGCAATTCTTTTGATGATTAACTCGCAGAAGTAGGAAAAATACTTATACTTTGATCCAAGCGCTGCCCATCTTTCTTGTATTCCATATGGTAGCTTGAGAACAATAGATTTTGATGCCATGAGAGGTGTCAAGGTAACTGAGCCAGGTAAGTTGATGTCAGCCTTAGCAAGTTTAAAGCTCTAATAGAACATCGCTGAGTTCTTGAAACTTTAGATTGTCGTTAGCAGAAATCCTTGGGAAGCTTTTGCAACCTTTTGAATAAAGCATCTTCAATGGCCTCTCGGGCTGCCAAAGGTATGTTCAATTCTGCCCCAAGCAGCATTAAGGCCTGCAGCATGGGGTTGTCAATATGAACTGCTTTGAGCCTCTTGATGCGTTCAGTAGAACAGGGGACCTAGCCATCTGATGAGTAGATCTAATTCCTCTGTAGCATTGATGTCTAGGTCACTCATTGTGGCCTTAAAGGTGGATTTCCAGCCTCTGTAATTTTTCAGGCTAGTCATCAAACTTAGTGAGGCCTGTCTTAACAAGTTCTCTGTGGAGCATGTATTTAGCAAACTGTAACATGTCCGTGTTTTCATATTTTCGGGTGCATGACTGTAGGTGGAACAGCGTTGGTTGTGACGGTTGGTGGACTTACGTGAAGTGACTTGGGAACATATGTTGCTGCTAAGGCATTCAATGCCGGAGCTGGCTTAAAGTTCATGGCTTGTTGGTTTGTAGAGTAGTGCGTTTGCTAGGAGTTATCGTTTCTGTTCGTGCCAAAGTAGATGGATGGATGGTCTGTTAAATACACACCAGTGTCTGCAGCTAAATGAGATGTTGCAGTCTGATGTATTGGAGGATATAAGGGCAAATCGTCCTTAAGGGACAGTAGGTGCAGTTAAGAGAGATTTTGATTGAGTACCTTGGCTGCTGTAACAGGGAGTTGATAATATTCTGGAGAGGTGTGTGAAGAATCTGAGACATAAGATACAATGAGTGTCTGGAACTGCAGGTCTCTTTCGTTTTCACTACGGCTTGTTCTAAGACCGGTTTAACCTTGCCATGGCTGTGGCATGCTCACATTGTTTTCCAAACTTCAATTTCTGCCTTTTGACGTGTGGCTTCAGCTTCATTCTCTGCTTTCTGATGTGCAGCCTGAGCCTCCATTTCTGCTTTCTTATATGCGTCCTGAGCCTCTATTTCTGCCTTCTTCTGTGCACCTGAGCCTCCATTTCTGCTTCTTATATGCGGCCTGAGCCTCTTTCTGCTTTCTGATGTGCGGCCTGAGCCGTCTCCATTTGTGCTTTCTTTTGGGCAAAAGCTGCCTGAATTTTAGAAGCTTCAGCATCAGCACGGGTTTTTATTAGTTGTTGACTGAGTGTAGAAGATCTTGATTGTAGGGATTTGGAAGATCTTGAGCAGCATCTAGTAGATACAGAGAGATGAAGATCTGGATTCATGGAAGCTGTGTTATTCTCACTTCATGCTTTTGTCTTTGTTCGCACCACTAAATTGGTCTCTTTCAAGATTGAGCTCCTCAAAATCCTTAATTCTTCCAATGACCCTTGAGAGTTGTACCGTTTTAACAGAGCAATATATTTACACACAACAGTCTTTGATAGTTCTCATAAACAACATTCAATTGCTGGATAGCACCCTCCTGTTTTTTAATGGCTCATGAGATTGTTGGGAGAGGAGTCAGACATGCATTTAACAGTATTAGACCATAAGTCATTAATATTGGGACAGCAATTTTTATTTATCAGTATTGAAATTCTCTTGCACTTTCCAAGATGGATTTCTTAAGTGTTTTTCTCTCTTATCCAAGTCCTACTCTGGATGTGTTAGCTCTGATTGTGGTTGTGTATTTGTTTCATCAGACTGTATATCACTTTCCTGAAACACAATCATGTTAGCAAGAAGAGGGGTTGATAGAAAGCTGTACAGAGAAATGTATAACTTCTTCTGTGGCTGAGTACAGGTTTTAATGCAATAATTGCAGGAATATTTTCATTTTTCTTTCTTCTAAGTTCACAGACAAGAGTTGTGTTGTAATGTGTACACATGCAGTGTAAAAACTTGCAGTTGTAAAACATTCACATCATAATTTGTCATGGCACTGATGAGTGTTATGCTGGGATATACTTGGGGGCATGTACAGACTTGCGTAGAGATGGCTGCACTCTCTTATAGCTGTGTATATCCAGTATCCATGTAACATCTCACTGTGTATTCTAGCTAGCAAGGATTCTTATGAAGCATTCCACTGTTCTTTCGACTGTTCTGTGTGTCCAACCTCTATCCCTGTCTGAGGACTTGAAAACATGCTCTCTCCCTGTCAGAGCACATGTCCGTAGACTCAATAGAGGGGGTCCTTGGTCTGTTTAGAATCATACAAATTGCACAAATTAATCTGTTGACTGCTGGGAACTGTTGTGCTATATTTAAGAGCCACAACTTTGCCAGCCAAAAGAATCAATTTTTAAAAAAAAAGTGAGGTGTAGTGTATAAACACAGAATCAGTGTGGTTTACCAGAGTATCACCCCTGTGTATATATATATATATATTTTTATATATATATATATATATATATATATATACATACACACATGTATTGTACCCAAAGATTAAATGTAGATGTGGGACTTTAATTATACTATTGGTGACCACAAAATGATAGAGAACCAAAAATAATATATATAAAACCATACAGCTGATATTATACATTTGCTTTAAAAGAATAAATGATCCATTGACATTCACATAAAAAACAGAAAAATAGGGGGCTCGTCAAATTGAGCATTCCTATTACATATCCTTGAGTTAGGTCAACGCGTTTCATGAGTTATCCTCTGCTTCTTCAGAACCAATCAAGGGTAGTGTCAGGAATGGACTTGCCAGAAAATGGTGGGACTCACCTGCCTTGTGGGCTGCAGTACCAGGGCTGGCCAGCGGGTGCTCCCAGCAATCAGACTCAACCTGCAGCCAGCCAACACCTGAAGTTGATTTTGTTCCGGAGTTGATTATGCAGGTGTATGTTTTATGGGATGGCCAGACCTGCAGTCTCGGCTTGGTGTGTGTTTTTCCTGGGCCCTGTATCTTGGTCCTGCATCCCTGTCCCTGTTCCTGTCCCTGTCCCTGTCTCTGTCTGATTCGTTGCTGACCTGCTGATCCGGACCTCTGCTGACTTCCTGTTTTTATCCCTGGCTTGTGACCCCGACCATTCTCTGCCTGACCCCCTGTACCTACCTGCCCGATTGTTATTGACCCGGCTGCCTGACGACGCTTGCATTTATGTATTATCTGTGGGTGGTTTGGTTTGGTTCGTTGCTGTGTTATGTTTTAGTATTGCACTGCGTTTATGTTTGTATTGTTAGTCTTTTAATAAATTATTTGTTTATAACTTATTCTGAAGCCTGCGTTTCCCTGCGTCAGTTCACATTACCTCTGGTCATACCCTGGAGCCCTGAATTACACCAAGGCCAATCCTGACCAGAAGTCGCATGCACAGGGAAGCCATCTTGGCTTGTTGCTGGGAAGGATGGATCTTGATGAGGTTGTGTATTTATCTCTGCTAGTGTTTGATGACAGAGAGTATGCTTATCAAACTCTGAAGGAGTATCCAGGGATGAACTGCTAGAATGTATACGGATCGCTTCATTGCCTAGTAGTATCAGGGCACAGAGTTCTCTGAGGTGCAGCCATTGATTCAGGTTTGTGCTGAGTTGGTTTCATCTGGTACCCCTGAATGCAGGGATGAATTTTTGGCCCCCATTTAGTGCCGACCAGGTAGAGTCCCTGGTATGGTTATTAGAGGATGATGTGGATTACTTTCTGGAGCGTTTATTCTGCATGTTCACAAACAGGTACTAAGAGATTGTATAACCGCAGTGCAGTCTTTGGTCAGACAGGCTTTGTGTAAGCTGAGCTTTTGTTCAACCCATACTGCAGACATGGTCAGACTTGTTGCACCCCAGCCTCAGGTCAGCTTTGCAAAAACCAGTCCTGCTTCTAATCTATTTCTTCAAAGCTCTTTCCTGCATTCTCAACAGCACTCCAGTTACAGCCCAGTATACCCTGCTATCTACCGCATGTCAGTACCCTGTTCCCACTCGCTGCACCTATCTGCCTTTAACCCTGTAAAGAAGCCCCCTCCTGTAGCAACTGTTCCCTCCCCTGTTTATCCTCCAGCTCTTCTCTGTCTCCAGCTCCATCCGTTTACAAACCTGCGCCTTACTTACGGTTGCTCCGGTAACTAAAACCAGGAAAAGGGGAACGTTCTTTCCAACCAATACCATCCTGCCAGTATCCAAAACCGGTCAGCCTCCCATCTGAGAACCTGCCTTCCGTGGTGCAGCTGGCGCCTCGGCGCCCACCATTCAGCCTGATGCCTCTACCCAGCCTGATGCCTCTACCCAGCCTGATGCCTCTACCCAGCCTGATGCCTCTACCCAGCCTGATGAACTGATCAGCAGCTGATGATTCCATTAGGCCAGTTTTGACTCGATGCCCGCTGTCAATCCAGACGATCCGGTACCTGATGACCCAGTGCCCGCTGTCATGCCTGGTGACCGAATGCCCGCTGTCGGGCCAACGATCCAATGTCTGACCCAGTGCCCGCGGTCATGCCAGTTGACTCGGAGCCCCATGTCGTGCTGGTGACTCGGTGGCGCACTGCCTTGCCAGATGACGCGGTGCCCGCTGGCGAGCCAAATGACCTGATGCCTGGTGACCCAGTGCCCGCTGTCATACCTGGTGACCGATGCCCGCTGTCGAGCCAGGACAATCCCCATGCCTGATGACCCAGTGCCCGCTGTCATGCCTGGTGACCCGATGCCCGCTGTCGGCCCAGACGATCCAATGTCTGACCCAGTGCCCGCGGTCATGCCAAGTTGACTCGGAGCCCACTGTCGGCCTGGTGACTCGGTGCCCACTGCCTTGCCGATGACACGGTGCCCGCTGGCGAGCCAAATGGACCCGATGCCTGGTGACAATCAGTGCCCGCTGTCATGCCTGGTGACCCGATGCCCGCTGTCGAGCCAGACGATCCAACGCCAGATGACCGGTGCCCGCTGTCGATCCAGACGATCCGTACCTGATGACCGGTGCCCGCTGTCCGTACCAATTGACTCAGAGCCCACTGTCGTGCCTGGTGACTCGGTGCCCACTGCCTTGCCGGATGACGCGGGTGCCGCTGTCGAGCAAATGACCTGATGCCTGGTGACCCGATGCCCGCTGTCGAGCCAGACGATCCAATGTCTGACCCAGTGGCCCGTGGTCATGCCAGTTGACTCGGACCCACTGTCGTGTCTGGTGACTCGGTGCCCACTGCCTTGCTAGATGACGCGGTGTTCCGCTGGCGAGCCAAATGACCTGATGCCTGGTGACCCGTATGCCCGTTGTCGTGCCTGAGGGCCCGATGCCCGTCGCTCCGCCTGGGGGGCCTGGCGCCCGCCGCTCCGCCTGGGGCCCGACGCCTGCCCCCCGCCGCGCCCCGCCTGGGGGACCGATGCCTGTCTCTCCGCCTGGGGGCCCGATGCCTGTCGCTTCCGCCTGGGGGCCCATCTGCCTGTCACCCCCTCCTGGGGGCCGCTGTTCCGCCTGGGGGCCCGGCGCCCGGCGCCCCTCTTGGGGGCCCGATGCCCGTCGCCCCTCTCTGGGGGTCCCGATGCCCGTCGCCCCGCCTGGGGGGGCCCGGTGCCTGCTGCTCCGCCTGGTGGCCCGGGTGCCTGCTGCTCCGCCTGGTGATCCGGTATTTTGTCCAGCTCGATGTGCCTCTGCCCGGAGTCCAGCTCGATGTGCCTCTGCCCGGAGACCCGCCCGATGTGCCGCTGCCCGGAGTCCCGCCCGATGTGCCTCTGCCGGAGTCCCGCCCGATGTCCCTCTGCCGGAGTCCCGCCCGATGTCCCTCTGCCGGAGTCCCGCCCGATGTCCCTCTGCCCGGAGTCCCGCCCAATGTGCCCCTGCCCGGAGTCCCGCCCAATGTGCCCCTGCCGGAGTTTTCCAGCCCAATGTGCCCCTGCCCGGAGTCCCTGCCCGATGTGCCGCTGCCCGGGAGTCCTGCCCGATGTGCCGCTGCCGGAGTCCTGCCCGGTGTGCTCTGCCGGAGTCCTGACCCGGTGTGCCGCTGCCTCCCCCCCCCCCCCACCGGAGTCCTGCCCGGTGTGCCGCTGCCCGGAGTCCTGCCCGGATTGTGCCGCTGCCCGGACTCCTGCCCGGTGTGCCCCTGCCGGTAGTACAGCCCGATGTGCCGCTGCCGGAGTCCTGCCCGGTGTGCCGCTGCCCGGAGTCCTGCCCGGTGGTGCCGCTGCCCAGAGTCCTGCCCGGTGTGCCGCTGCCCAGAGTCCTGCCCGGTGTGCCTCTGCCCGGGAGTCCTGCCCGATGTGCCCGGCCCAGAGTCCTGCCCGATGTGCCTCTGCCCGGAGTCCTGCCCCAATGTGCCCCTGCCCGGAGTCCGCCCAATGTGCCCCTGCCCGGAGTCCAGCCCAATGTGCCCTGCTGCCGGAGTCCTGCCCGATGTGCCGCTGCCCGGAGTCCTGCCCGATGTGCCGCTGCCCGGAGTCCTGCCCGGTGTGCCTCTGCCCGGAGTCCTGCCCGGTGTGCCGCTGCCCGGAGTCCTGCCCGGTGTGCCGCTGCCCGGAGTCCTGCCCGGTGTGCCGCTGCCCGGACTCCTGCCCGGTGTGCCCCTGCCCGGAGTACAGCCCGATGTGCCGCTGCCCGGAGTCCTGCCCCGGGTGTGCCGCTGCCCGGAGTCCTGCCGGTGTGCCGCTGCCCAGAGTCCTGCCCGGTGTGTGCCGCTGCCCAGAGTCCTGCCCGGTGTGCCTCTGCCCGGAGTCCTGCCCGAGTGCCCCTGCCCAGAGTCCTGCCCGATGTGCCTCTGCCCGGAGTCCTGCCCGATGTGCCTCCTGCCCGGAGTCCTGCCCGATGTGCCCCTGCCCGGAGTCCAGCCCGATGTGCCGCTGCCCGGAGTCCTGCCCGGTGTGCCGCTGCCCGGAGTCCTGCCCGATGTGCCGCTGCCCGATGTGCCGCTGCCCGATGTGCCGCTGCCCAGAGTCCAGCCCAATGTGCCCCTGCCCGGAGTCCAGCCCGATGTGCCCCTGCCCGGAGTCCAGCCCGATGTGCCCCTGCCCGGAGTCCTGCCCGATGTGCGCTGCTCCCGGAGTCCTGCCCGGTGTGCCGCTGCCCGGAGTCCTGCCCGATGTGCCGTGCCCGGAGTCCTGCCCGGTGTGCCGCTGCCCAGAGTCCTGCCCGGTGTGTGCCGCTGCCCGGAGTCCTGCCCGATGTGCCCCTGCCCGGAGTCCTGCCCGATGTGCCCCTGCCCGGAGTCCTGCCGATGTGCGCTGCCCGGAGTCCTGCCCGGTGTGCCGCTGCCCGGAGAGTCCTGCCCGGTGTGCCGCTGCCCGGAGTCCTGCCCGGTGTGCCGCTGCCCGGAGTCCTGCCCGGTGTGCCGCTGCCCGGAGTCCTGCCCGGTGTGCCGCTGCCCGGAGTCCTGCCCGTTGTGTCTGCTGCCCGGAGTCCTGCCCTGTGCCGCTGCCCGGAGTCCTGCCCGATGTGCCGCTGCCCGGAGTCCTGCCCGATGTGCCCCTGCCCGAAGTCCTGCCCGATGTGCCTCTGCCCGGAGTCCAGCCCGATGTGCCGCTGCCCGGAGTCCTGCTTGGTGTGCCGCTGCCCGGAGTCCTGCCCGGTGTGCCGCTGCCCGGAGTCCTGCCCGGTGTGCCGCTGCCCGGAGTCCTGCCCGGTGTGCCGCTGCCCGGAGTCCTGCCTGATGTGTCAGTCTTTGATATCCCGCCAGTTACCAGACCCGGGCGGTGGAACATTTTGCCCAGCTAGGACTGTTTGGAGCGTCCTGAGGCCGCTCCTTGAGGGGGGGTACTGTCAGGAATGGACTTGCCAGTAATGGTGGGACTCACCTGCCTTGTGGGCTGCAGTACCAGGGCTGGCCAGCGGGTGCTCCTAGCAATCAGACTCAACCCTGCAGCCAGCCAAACACCTGAAGTTGATTATGCAGGTGTATTTAAGGGATGGCCAGACCTGCAGTCTCGGCCTTGGTGTGTGTTTTTCCTGGGCCCTGTATCTTGTTCCTGCATCCCTGTCCCTGTCTGATTCGTTGCTGACCCTGCCTGATAGTCTTTAATAAATTATATTGTTTATAACTTATCTGAAGCCTGCGTTTCCCTGCGTCAGTTCACATACCTCTGGTCATACCCTGGAGCCCTGACAGGTAGTGTAGCCCACAACAAGTAGCACAGAAAACAGAATACTTTCTAAAAGAAAGAATAAACATATATGTGCCGTAAAAACACAGCATACACAATCAGGGATTATAGGTATGTCTATGAATAAAATAACGGTATATATATATATATATGTTCCTCCTGCAAACATGTCTAGGGGTACAACTTCTCAAGGGGTTCAAAAGTCAACAAGGCTGACTTTGCCAGCCAAAGGTTTCTTTTTTTTTAACCAATCACATGCCAGTTTGATAAAACAGGGACTGTTGTAACAAGTTAGGACTGTCTTTATATGCTTTTGTTAGGTAAATGCAGTTCAGTTATGTTAACCAGAATACTGCAGGTATTTAACCATATCTCTCAGAGAAACATTATTGTCTTGTGATTGTGTTATTGATCATGATTGTGTGTATTGTGTGTATTGTGGCAGAGCGAGGCCATGCCACTGCGGGATTAGGCAGTTTAGGTCAGATTTTGGAGGAAACAAGCACATTAATGAGCCAGGTGTGTGCTTCCTTCATATTGGAGCTCGGATCAGAGTTCAGGGCCCCACCAGGGGGTCAGCGACTGCAAGGGAGTAGTGCGTGAAGTGCATGCCGCACCGACCTGTCTAGGTCAGGACAGTTTGAGGCATGAGCATCTGAGTATGAGAGACAGTTCATGAGGGACAAAGCAGCTGGGACACTAGAAAGGACACAGAAAGGAGCTGAGAAACATCGGTTAGATGTGTTTGATAGTCAGGAGGACCGACACTGCCAAGGTACGCTGCAAAGCTGCATAAAGAGCCATGGGGCTGAATACTGTGTATGTTTGATGGTGAGAACCCCTGTGTGGGAAGTCTTTTTTTTTATGAACTTTGGCTTTGTTTTAAATAAAATTGGCCAGAAAAAGCCCTGAAAGGTATCTCTTGGGTGGAGTGAACTCGCTATTTTGGCACTACAAATGAGCTATTAAACTCCCAAATCATCACTGTATATTTGCTACATTTGCTACATTGTGTCTTCTTTTAGGCTATACTTGGCTTAAAAATTCTTTGAATCAAGGTTTGTGGGAATGTGCTGGGTGACTGAAATGTGTCATTTTAAGGTGTACAAAAAAATCAGTTCAGTGTCTCCTCTGGGGATAGCCCTACATATGCAATTTAGATTGTACTAACTACTTCCATGTTTATGGTCTTTTCTTCACTTTTCTGTTAAAGCAGTTGAGCAGGGTATCTAAATACTTTGGTGGCTATTGGACTATACAACCCAGAAGACAGCAAAGTAGACCCAGTGTACTAGATAATCAGCACTCAAAAACAGAACTGGTTCGCTACACCCTTCACTCTTGAACACAAGTCTTTGTGAGGACCGTTGTCTGAGGGATGTGGCTGTTAATAGAGATTGAGGGCAAGAAGCAGCATTTTCCAATCAAAATTCTGCCACAAATCATAATGTTGGGATACATTACTACAAGTGAAAAAAAGGTGTGAGACTCAATTGTGTTTCTGATCATCTGTGTTCCAGACTGAGAGTGAACGGTGATCTACTCCAGCCTTTCTTAACCAGGTTGCCCAGGCACCCTAGGGTTCCTTGAGGTTTCTTCAGGGGTGCCTTGGCAAAATGTCTACAACTTGCCCAAAAGCCAGTGG